AAGTGCCTAATAAATACTTACAGAATGAATAAAATTTTCTATTTGTAACTATCTCTCTCATATTCAGAATATATTAGCAATGTCTTTAAGATTAAAACCAATGATGCTTGATGAACCATAATTTACACTTGAAATGTGAAAAGAAACGTTTGTTGTTTTTATCATACAAGATACAGAAAATAAATTTCCAAAAAAATGTTCTTCCCTGGGGGGCCTGAGTTTGAAGGAAATGCATGGAACACTGTTTTATTTGACCTCTGATTATTTAAATTTTTCTCTTTAATTAATTTCAATTAAAAGCATGTGTCCTCTTTATTGTGACTTCCATTTCCTTCTGGAAGTAGTCAGAGAATAAGGTGGAAAACAACATTGTACTTCAGATTAAATGCAATTTGTGAAGATTAATGGCTAGGTTCTGGCCCACCCACCCTTCCCTGACAGCTGCTTTTCCAGGGCTCATTCTGGGAAACAAAGAGACCAAAGGTTGTCTCTCCAAAGGACTACAATGGCAGTGAAGCTAGTCCCAGAAAACCTCTCCAGCACTGCAACCTCTATCCCACATTCTTATCCTCTTTCCTCAAGATAATCGGTCCTAGTGTTTATCAAGCAAATATCCTGGACTGATATTTCAGCAGTCATGATTGGTTCCTGCATCAGCCTTCCTTAGGTAATCCCCGTAGCACTGTGACTGACTTGTAACACTCAGGAAATCTTAGAGTGTGACAGTAATAATGGTATATTCACCTTCAAAGGGGCTTTCTCCATTCAAAGGAATGAATGAGTTGTTAAAACTTCAAGAATTGGGTCCAGTTGCTCAAAAGAAATTCCAGGAAAGAGGACTTTTCATTTTCCTTCAATAAGCATTGCAGAGGCTTGGTCTGGAAAGCACAACCCTTCTCTTCCAACTTTATCTTTCTTTTTTTTCTACTTCTTTTTTTTTTTTTTCTACTGTTTTTCTTAAAGAGCCTCTCTTCTATTATGCTGATTATGTTTTTTCATATTTTACCCCATTTTGACTTATTCCAAGGATATTTAAAGAAAGTCCCTGATCCCTATGCTCTATTCAGTGAAAGTAAAAACAAGTATGAACCACAAAAAACAATGACTTCATTTTAGTTTACAAGATTTGAGTCCAGTTACTTATTTTAGCAACCTCAAGGAAAAAGAAAACTGTAGGATCAATGAGACCCTAAACTCTATTGCAAATTACATACTATGGACTTTGTACAAATTTGCTTAGATGCACCTGTGATTAGCAGTTTCCTGTCCTATAAAATGGATGTAAGATTTATTAACTTCAGTATAACTATAAAATTCATAAAAATGTAACATATAGAAGGAATCTGAGGGAAACAGATCCATAGTTTTCTAACAAAATTCTAAATATTAATATAGGCACTCATATCCACATTTTCCATCATCATTATGAAAGCCAGCTTAACCCAATAAAATACTTGCCATCTTATTTCACAGATGACTGAATGGAATTATGAGAGACAGTTGACAACAAAATGCCTTTTGGAATAAATAAAAGCAAGCATGCATATTGATCAGCATCTTAAAGATTTAAATGCATTCTTCAGAATAAGGTCCCCAGAACTACAGCTCTTCAACAGCATTTGGCTTCACAGTTGTTCCCACAACCTCAAGAGTGATTAGCCATGGAATCTCTTCTCACAGGAAAAAAGTAAAACCTCTTTCCTCCTGCCCTATCCAAGTGGGCCACTGCCGCTTTTCTCTTCGCTCAGCCTTTCCCCCAGTGGTTGCCAAGTTCTAATGTGGTTCACTGCATATTTTAAATGTTAGATGTCGTTATGGTCAAAGAAGGTCAAGAATGGCTGCTGAGCAAGGATGGGGGTGTGCCTGAAAAAGACAGAAGCTGAGATTTAGGTCACCACTGGGGAGATGATTTCTGTTCACAGGATTCTTATTTTTTGTTGGTATTCATGCTTTTCTATGGCCTTTTTTTTTTAATGTTCTAAATTAAGAGCAAGCAGTATCTGAAGTGCTTCCAAGGTGGTCTGGAGTGATTTTAAGTAAAAATGATCCAACCATCCTATAAACAGAATCTTTTCTGTCCACAGAACTAGGAAACATTTCATCAGTTTTAAAAAAATACTGACTCTCTGGATCATTTTTGCCCAGTGTCTCCCTTTCCTTACAAGACACTTTGCAGAGGGTTCTACAGAGACTTTCTCCAGGACCCAAGGCTGTGCTGAGGATGCTCTGGAGGGATGAGGCTTGCTGCTTTTCTTGGTGGTGTTAACAATGCTCTAGGATTTCTTAGTCTTCTTTTAGTCATAGAGACTAAAAGAAGCACACAAGAACTTTAAAAAATGACAAATGCAGCACAATTTGAGGCAAAATGTTAAGCACTGAGACTTGTCAAGATTTTTCTATATTCTAAAAACAAGATAGACTAGAGCTAGTTTAGAAGACAGAAAGTTTCTAAGGGATTTAAAGAAAAAAATAGTTTCACCAAAGAAGGGAAACGGGAAGTAAGAGTAATAGAATATCCTGATAATTGAATAAAATCTTGATTTTATTTTACCACACATGGTTTAATCCCTGCTTATAGAAGCTCTCAACCACAGACCTGCTGGACAGTACTTCTAACTTGTTGCTAAAGATTACACGGTCAAACAAATGCAACAGAAAATCATGGACAGTCTACAGAACTCTAAAATAAAAAAACACACCCACTGATATTTTACTATATAGTTGAGATGTTTAGAAAACAATCAAAGATTAAGAGTTACAGATTCCTTGCTCATGCTGCTGTCACCCTTACTGTGGAGAACAACTTAAATCTATCCACACTCCTGGGTATGCAGACCTAAGAGCCCCTGGTGGCTGCTTGCCACTGTCCCTTCCCACCCTTCTGTAGTAAGAGAACCCTGGTACCAAGCCAGGCACAATCCTACCTGGAATAAATATTTTAACTCCCAGTCCCCCACGTAGATGTGGCCACAAGAGTAAGCTCTGGTGAGTGTTAGGTAACAGAAATACATATTAATTAAGTCCTTTATTAAGATCCTTTAAAGGAAGAGATCAACTTCTACCACTTAGAGTGTGGATTTTATACCTAGAGCTCCAGAAGCTATGTAATCAGCACTGTAGACAAAAACTAACTGCTGATGATGCAAACCGAGAAGACATGAGCCCAAGTCCTGATGATACACATTAGCCACCACACCAGGCCATACTCTACCCACCCCAGATTCTTTGACATAAAAGAGACACAGTCATTATTTTATCAAGCTCCTTGTATTGAAGATTCACTGTTTAACTTATGGAAACTCAAAATGATAATTAATGGTATGCGTAACACATAGTCCAAGGAGCTTGTCTACTCTGGGAACAGGAAATTTAGCTTCACCACTCTGCAGAAATTCCTTCACACACCTATAGATTACACAAATATATCCAGTAGAAAATGCTGGGCTAGCATCTTCCACAAGAACAAAAGCTTGCTATCAGCTCTGGACCTCCACATTCTCACTAACCCTACCCTATCCTATCCTATTCAGCATCCTATCCAGCATCCTATCACTCCAGTTCTTTCTGTCCAACTTCTGGTGTCACACTGAAAGAACATCAGTAGTTTGATGCAGGTCACTACTAACCACGAACTGGGCAAAACTCACCCGCTTCACTGCTTCCTCCCCAAACCAAAAGTGTTCCTATAATACAGGAACTGCATTAATGCATGAAACTATTAATTTTTATTTAATTACTACAATGAGTAACAATAAATTATAAGGACTATCGTAGTACACCAGAAGACACTCTTGAGTTTTAAGTATTCATAAGCAAACTAGGATCCTAATATAAAGTATTAATAACAATAAAAATAGATATCATCTATTTTTATGACATTGATATTAATCAATATCATATGACTGTGGCTTGCACTCTGCTAGACACATATTATTTGGAATTCACAAATCATATACAAATATTTTAGAGATGAGAATGTATTTCACAGAGGCTAAATAAGCTAAGATTCCCAGGCAGCTCATGGAACTGATTATAATAAAATCCAGATCTATACACTTAAAAATATGTAGTTATATAATCCTATTTCTCAAAATATTATATAATACTAAAAGAATCTTTATTTTCCTCTTTTCCAAACTGCAATAAAACATTTCAATCACAACTCTATTTTTTATTACCGAGAACATTTCTCAAAACAAAAACAAAAGACAGTTTGATAGAATTCATCAACAAAAGGTAAATAATGCTGAAACACAAATAAAATAAATCACAAAAGTGTTTTTCCTTAATTCCACACTTTGCTAACACTTTTCATTTCAGGATGACCAAAATGTTTCCACAATAAGGGTTTTTATGCACCTTTTAATTTGTAAACATCTAAACTAAAAAGGAACACCTACAGTGTGACATGTTCTTGGGTAATTACAGCTCTGTGTGCCATTTCTTTTGAAAACAGGTCTGTTTTATTTCCTACCTCTCTATTGAAGCATTGGCCTTAATAAAGGAAAGAACACAGAAAGAAATCAAGCCCTTAAAGCATTCATTCAGTACAACCACAATTTAGCCAGCATTTTAACAATAAATGAGCTTACAATGGAAAAAAGAAATAGATCTTTCAAGGTACATTCATGTACGTACATGTGTGTATGTGGAGAGTATATGTATTTAATTTTAAGATATATAAAAAAATGATTCCATTAAAAGTTTATCATTAGAATAATGCATATTTTCTTGAGCTGCTGAAAGCTAAATAATTAAAATATTCCTAGGAGAAGAACATTAAACAGAAGGTTAGAGCTCCCTCTTTCTTCCTCTTGGAGAAATCCACTGACACTCCTCTCCTAGGAGAAAACAGGTTACCAAGGGAACAGCCCCAGCAGCACTCTCCCAGAGCCTCCGCACACATGCCGCAAGCATTAGAGTACCCTGGTTGTTCATTATTCATAAATGATTTCAATAGTAGGAAAAAAAAAAGAACCTTTAAAAATAGAAATACTCACAAAGCCATTTCAAACTGTTCCAGCCATTTTTTCTTTAAATCTTTTGTTTTGCAATAAAATTCCAACCCATTTTGTCCTTGGGTATGGATGAGGTAGAAGCCATAAGACCACTGTTAAAAGTAACATTCTCTGGGTTAAAATGTGTCATATATTAAACACATCATGTTTCAAAATTCATTAAATCACCACTATACCCATCTGAAAATCCCCTCACAACAGTCTCAATATATAAACTGAACAATCCAACTTGTTACCATAGTCAACTGCCCTGTAACAAGTCCATTATACTGTGTTGATTTTAGGGCCCTGGAAATGGTCAGACCAGATGTGGCACTGTCCTTATGTTCACAGAGGCCTGCACCTAAGTAATCTCTACCCCAAAGCACCTGTGCCAGGAAGCCACCTCAACACTCATGGGCAGGCGGCCTCTTGGTCCATGAGTTCCATAGCCCCAGAATTAGCCAAGCGTGAGTGGAAACTATTTTTAAAAATTGAACCTGCATTGAACAGATACTGACTTTTTCTTGTCACTATCCCTAAAGAACACAATGTAATAACCATTCCAAAGGAATTACATTGTGTTTGGTATTAAAAACAATCTAGAGATGATTCAAAATATACAAGAGAATATGCATAGGGCACGTGAAAATATACCATTTTACTTAATAGACTTCAGCACCCACAGATTTTGGTATCCATAATGGTGGAGAGGAATGGCTATGTTCCCATAATTTTCCTGAATGTTCAGAGTTATGAGTCAGTCATACTTATGAATGTCCAAGAAGTCACCTTCTTATTTTCTTTGTCAGTCGTAGGGTTGTTGGCTATCTTGTACTGCTGGAGATCTATGATTTCCTTCATTTCGTAGTTATCACCTCTCCTTTTACATACAATCACTGCCAGATCAAATAAGAAGATATGCCTGTGAGAGAGAGAGAGGCTGACTGGACCATGGGTACTCATCTTTTCCTGATAATATGTAATTACACTGACCACACATTCTTGCTTTGCATTAAAGACAACAGGTAATGTCGCAGAATGAGAGAGACATCATTTTATGAACATGTGTGTCCAGGCAATATCTACCCCTCACCACAAAATAGCCTTTCACAGCCAGGCTTCCAAAGTTAAAACATGGGCGAAATCATATAGGGAGATAGTGCAGAGTGGTTGAAAGGACCAGCTGAAGTTAAACTGTAGAGCTTTTTCATAGGCAACTACTTCTTAATTTAAAAGCTAAATCTCAGTAAAATAGCAACTAATATGCACTACACATCAGTCTTAGGTCAGAATGCAATGAGAAGGAAGGGGTCAGCCCTCTCATAAGCAGGACTCAAGTTATACCCGCAAGGTCCCTGCTGGTTGGGGGTGGGTATCATCATCTTCACCTTACTGGGGAGTAAAGCAAAACTTATCCAAGTTAGACAATTTGCTCAAGGTCACATTGCCAATGAGGTACAGAGCAAAAGTCACAGCCTGGTCACATTTTCAAACCTATGCTTTTACTCTTTTTATGTTGCTCTTTATGATTTAACCTATAACATGACCTGAGTGTGTGAACAAAATATAAACAAGAGTAGTTACGGTCAAATTTCTCTTTTTTTAAAAAATCTTTTTTCTCATTAAAAAAATGGAAATTGGTGGAAGTCAAACCTTATACACTACCACACAACACCAATATTAATATATTTTCATGAACTCTCAGTCCTTGGCACACATATTTGTAACACAGTGATGATAACATTATATTCGCAGAGCTTTAGTACTTCTGTCACTTTTAAAGTCTGTGGTTTAAGCCCTGTGGCTCCTGAGAGCAATCTATGGTATCAAGGTGGAAGCAAGAGCCGATGCTGCCCCCTACTGGCCCATACTGTTTTCTCCAAGGATTGTAGAAAACTACAAAAAGCATCAGTTTGACAAACATATATATCTATATCTATATCTATATCTATCTATATATATATATATAGAGAGAGAGAGAGATAGATAGATATAGATAGATAGATAGATAGATATGGGGGGGGTTGGGTGCCTGTATCTCTGTGTGTTTATTTATTTAAAGACTCCAGGAAAAGTTTAGTAATTTTCAAAGACTCCTATAACAAATTTCCCTCAAGAAAAATTAATCACTACATGGTATTCAATTATTCCTTTATTAGGATATTTCTATTTTTACTTAAAGTGAATACCAAAAAGCATCATTCATGCTTTTATGGTAGATACTCATGATTACTTCACTGATATTATCATTTTAATGTGTACTTTTTGAACTTAGATGATCTTCTATATTTTTTATTTCGTTCTTAGGAACTTACTGAATCCAATACATACCAGAGCAGAAAGAGGAGATACCTATGGTATCTATAACAAAAAATTTTAGGAGTCACGGCCTGTCTGTCCTCTATCCCCCATGTCCCACTTCACCCTGGAAAAATAGTTTTAAGGTTTTCTTAAAATTCTGATGTTTATTTTGAAAACAAGTATTTGTCTTCTCTCCTCACCTTTCTTGCTTTGTATGCTTGTCCAGAGTGGTTATTCGAATCTCACCATCTCCCTGAGGTCTCCCAAAAAGCAAAACTGGTTGATTCTAAAATACAAATGTATGTCTGAGTTTTTCATAATGACACAGAAACAGAAACATTAGTAAAGATATTTCTCCAGGAAGACCACCTATTACAGTACAAATTTGTACACAGTTTTATCTCTCTCTCTAACATACAGGACTGTATGACACTCTGTCAAAAGCCATCTGACCTTCTTAGTCCCAGGGATTTACTGAGAACATCAATTTTATTTATAATCTTAAAAAGGATGTTAAATACCAGACAAGGTAAATAACTAGAATATAAATCACAAAAAAAATTTCTAGGTACTAACACTCGTTGAGCATCTACTTCATGCAGCAGACACTTTGTCCTATGTAACAGACACTTCGTCCTAGCACTCTGTCCTATGCAACAGACATAGGATACAATGATATGCACACTTCTTCCCTCATGGGACAGACTGTCCAGTGGAAGAGTAAGTAGTCACAGAAGGATGCAATTACAAATGCAGATTGCCTGGAAGGAAGCACACAGGACAGGGATTCAGTCGGGTCTTGAGAGTCAGGGGAGGTTGCCTGGAGCTTAGGTCTCAAAAATGAAAATTTCTGGCTTAATAAAAATAACGATCTATTTCTCCAAAGGTAAACAATCAAACTATTAGAAGTGTACTTACTGTACTTAAGAGAAAAATGAACTATCATTAACATCTAAAGATTCTACTGTGATTAAGGGAATAGATGTGTGATTAACTTTTATAAGAAAGTGTAACAATAAATGATCTCTATCAAAATCCCAATTTCTTTGCAGAAAAAAATTTCCATCCAAAAATTCATATGGATCCTCAAAGGACCCTGAATAAGCCAAAGTAATCTTGAAAAAGAACAAAGTTGAGTATCTCATGCTTTCTAATTTCAAAATTAGAATTCTAATTCCCCAAAGCTACAACAATTACGACTTTGGCATAATGACAAACATATACACCAATTCAAATCAAAGAAGGTCCAGAAACAAGACTTCACATGCATGGTCAAAATCATTTTCAATGGGGTGCCAAGAGCATTCAATGGAAAAAGGACAGCTTTTCAACAAAGGGTGCTAGGAAACCTGGAAAGCCACATGGAATAAAGGTGAACTTTTCTTTTATATCACATATTGATTTATTCAAACTAGGACAAGACCTTAAAGGTCTTACAAGAAAATGGAAAATTTATGTCATTGGATTCAGCAAAGATTCCTTGGATAACACCAAAAGCATAAGCAATGAAAAAGATTGATAAATCCGATTTCATCAAAATTGAAAACTTTTGTGCCTCAAGGACACTATAAACAACTAAAAAGGTGAGCCAGAGAATAAATTATTTACAAATCATCTTCCTGATAAGAAACTGGTAGGCAAGATGTATGTAAAGAACTATAAATTCAGGCCAGGTATGCTGATGCAGGACTGTAATCCCAGGGGAAGCTGAGGCAGGAGTATCACTCTGAGTTTGAAGCCACGCTGGGCTACACAGTTGAAAGTCAGCCTGAACTACATAGTAAAACCCTGTCTCCAAAAGAAAGAAAAAAAAAAAAAAGGAAAAAGAACTACAAATTCTTTTTCAGAACTACAAATTCTTTTTCAGGTTGTTTTCAGAAAACAACCTGATTCAAAAATGGCCAATGCATTTAAATAGATATCTCTAAAAAAGATATACAAGTAACCAGTAAACACATGAAAAAATGTCAGTATCATTAATCACTAAGAAATACAAGTCAAAACAACAAAGAGATACTACTTCACACTCATTAAGATGTCTATTAATATATATACATTAATGAAAAATGAATAAGAAATGACCAAAATATGTAGAAAACAGACCCCTCAATTAATTTGTAATAGAAACATAAAAAAAATAGCCACTGCCATGGAAAGTGGTATGGAATTCCTCGAAAATTTAAACACAGAATTGCCATATAATCAAAAAACCATACTTGTAGGTATATAGACAACAGAAGCACAAGCAAACCCTGGAATAGATACTGACATCCCTATGCATATTACAACTACCACTGAAAGGAGGAGGTGAGCCAAATGTTTATGGATGACTGCATGAACAAAAAAGTATGCATAATCAAATGTGGGATACCCTGATACAATGATGTATCATTCAGACTTTAAAAGATAGAAAATTCAGAAAGAAAAAGGAAAGTTTTGTCATATACTACAACATGGATAAACCCTAAAACACCAAGGTAAATAAAATCAATCACAAAAGAACAACTATTGTTTGATTCCATTTATAAATGATATCTAGTGTGGTCAGATTCATAGAGACTGAACACAGCATGCTGGCTTCTAAGCACAGAAGGGAGAGGAAATGGGAAGCCTGAGCATGGGTGCAGACTTTCTGCTTTGCAGAAGGAAAGTTCTGGAGACAGATGGTAGCGATGGTTTACAACACTGTGCATATACCAATGCTACCTTTGTTATTTAAGATGGTAAATTTAATATGTATACATTTTACTGCAATTTTTTAAAGCTATGTAGCTGTCCAGGGACTACATTATGAATTTCAAAGAGAAAGGCATGAGAGATTAAAAAAAGTGATTTCTTTTAGGTTGAACCTTGAAGGAATTTTATAGGGAATAGCTGCAGAGATACTCTAGGCCAATGGTAGTGAATTTTTGCATATGTGCTGTGTTGGGCTGTTTGTAATATTAAAAGCTCTAAAAGATTCTCCATCACTGCTAGATTCTGAGATGATTACAATCAAAGGCAGATACTGAAAACTGGAGACTTTATAATAAATACAGCAGAATCTTCACAATACCAAATACAATTAATATAAAATATGATGGCCAAGTTCAGGAAAACAGTTTAAATCCAGCTAATTAAGGCTCTTAAAGATGTCTAAGGTCTGAATAATGACGGCACCAGAAGCTTGAAAAGTTGAGCAAAGAAGGTGAGTTGAGCGATCTGTGTTTTAGAACTGCAGTTATATGGGCAGATGATTAGAGATTGCTGGGACTGGAAAGAAGGCCAATGATAGTTTCTCGAGATGAAGAAGTGGTTGTTCATCAAAAAGAAAGGGAGGCTTAGAATGTTTCAGAGAAAGAAGCAATAAAATTACTCTACCACCCAAAGTATTTTAAATCTATTCTCTGTAGTAGACACAAGTTACTCCATTCTCTCTGGAAACCACTTCAAGAGCTTGCTGATCAGATGCCCCCAAGAGGTATTGTAATGTCAATCAGTCAGTGATCCTCCCTGGTGGAAGAGTGGTCTGGCTCTCCTGGTCACAATAAACCCCTGCTTGGCCCGCATGTTTGTACTGTCCACTTCTGGCCGCCCTCACACTGCAGAGGCCTCCAGCCACACTTCCCCTCCAGCTTCGCAACACACAGGGCTCTTGCAGATTCCAGGCATGTCACCTGCTGAGACTTCTACCTGGATTTCCCCAAGAACTTCATGTGACCTCTTATCTGTTAGGTTCCAATTCAAATGATAAGTGATCCAAAGAACTTTTCTGGCCATCTTATCTAAACTAGGACTTCCTGCAGTGTCATCAGGTGAAGCCCTTTCATTCACAGCTCCAACCTCAATCTGACATTTCAAACCTCTCTTGTGCCTCTTTCTTCAGTCAGGAGACCAGCATCTGGATAGGCACAGGCTTGCCTCAGGCAACATTTCGGGCACACAGATATACCCAGTAAATACATGTAAACCGAGTTAGTGAACAACTGTCAGCCCTGAGTATGTATAGGGTTGAGGGAAAGAAAAGATGAAAGTGGACTCCAATGTTTGAAATTCAGACCATAGAAAAGGCAGACTATTGATAGGGAGGGACACAAACAATGGTTATGATTTCAGACAGTGTGAAGCCATAGGTGCCACTAACTATCTATTTGAACGCCCTCAGGTGGGGAAAATCGAACAAACAACAGAAACTTGAAGGTTAACTTATCTTTACTTCAAAACAGCTCTTAGAATATCCTCCCCCCACCATATGGGGTAAGAAACTGTATGGAGAAGCTAATTACATACCAAGTTTTCTATAGATAGCTGAAACTGTTTAATCTCACGAAGGGTCTCATTATCTCTTTTGACTTCATTCACATATTGTGCCAAATCCTAAAGAACAAAGAGAAGGGTACAAAAAGAAGGCATACTAGGATTAGAGAAGAGATGCAAACTGCTTGAAAGAAAACACATCATTAGTTCCAAGAGTGGTAAAAGTAACTACCGTAACTTTTCAACAATAAAATGAACATTCAATCAATCAAAGCTGCATCTTGACAACAATTTAAAAATGTCCCAGCATACAGCTGGGAGGACTGAAGAGTTGTCATTTACCACACCCCTAAGCGGAGCAAGTGTGTTGCTGCCTTAAGAAACAAAAACAAAATATGCTGCTTTGCAGAGCAGCAACAAGAAAACTAGGTCAGCAGGCTGTGATCCAAGTACCCTCTCTCCACCTGACCTCAGAAGAATCATCTTTATACAGCGTGGACTATAGGCAATCATGAAGGATGAGCAGGGAGACAAAAGGTAACTGAGTTCTATACAATGACCCTAAGAAAGACTGGTTTGTGCAACGTACTAGTTCCTGGGACCATGCAGTCAAGGGGGCTGGTTCAATTTTGAAGAATTAATAAAAGGAGAAATGAAGAAGTGAAGAACTAAACAGCATAAAAACTACATTGAGGTGAACAGAAAATGCTGGTCACGTTTTTCCATGGGCCATCACCTATTTTAAATGGCTTTTCTTATATTTGAGAAAACATTATCTAATGTTCCCATACTGTAACTAGCTATTTTTGTTACATGTGCTCCAGATTTTGTTTTCTGAGCTCTTTTTCTTTTTTCTCTGCCTTCTTAAATTCATCTGCAACAGTAGAAACACACCTCTACACAATGAGTTCCTAACTGCATTCTAAATAAAAGTCTGATTTGTCACAGGATGCATCTAACAACTACTTCAATAAGAAACTTCATTACAGCTGTGTGACATTTCCTGGTAGTGATATTAAAATCAGCTCAGCAACAAAACTAACACTGACATTGAGTAGGTAATTATACATTTCTCTTAGCAAGGTCATGTTGTTATTTGTTTTTTAAAAACAAATATTTACTTTTCAATTAGGCACACTTTTTTTCAAAGTTACGTTGATTTGGCATTATGTGGAAATTGGCATTTTACGTGTTCTGTAATATGTTCGAAATATCCTTTGTCTTCCTGTTTGATTTTTAAGATTTCACTGAAAATATAAATCCAAGCTGAAACTGATTCATACGCTATCCAGACAGCATCCACATAGGTAAACCTGCAGACAAGCTCCCTGGAGGAAAATGAATCACACACAGGTGTTTCTCCAGTCACTCGCTGACCTCCTGCTTACACAAACTACAAGTTCTCTATTAATAACATTCAAAAGAATATAAAATTCAACCAGTTATTTAATTACTCCTGGTAGTTTTAAAAGTTTGCAAACTTGTACAAAAGCTATTTTAATATACCTCTCAGTTTTATGTGCATTTGTCCTACAATGAAATCCATGCAAGAATATTTATGGCAGTAAAGATTACACTATTCTCCCTACCAAAAATAAATGTGTATTATAATATATCAGCATGACATATACACATATTAACAGGTATAATTCTATTGTTTGTAGGCATGAACAAAATAATACGAAACATATTTGCCTTACCTTCATTGCATCAAGAGCCAGTTTCAGATTTGCCTTTTCGATGGGATCCGTGGTATGCTTGACCAGCTCCTGTGAGACATACAGGCTAGTCTTTACTACTTTCATCAAATCAAAACTAACACAAAAGATATGAAACATTTTTTAGTCAGATGTTATGGCACAAGCCTGTAATCTCAGCATTCTGGGAGGCTGAGGCAGGAGGACAGAAAATTCAAGCCCAGTCGGGATAACTTAGCTAGACCCTCTCTCAAATGAAATATAAAAAGTAACAGTGAAAAGGGCTGGGGACGTGAAGACCCTGGATGCAGTCCTCAGTATCACCAAATGCATGCATGCATGAATGAATGACCCTTATTATTATACTCTCAATAATATGATAAATTTAACAAAACTAGGCTCTCTTTTCATTAAAAGCATCAAACTGCAAGACAAACCAGACAGCAAAATAGCATGCAAAGTCCTTGGAAATAGCTTCCTTTCAATGACAAATCTGAATTCAATGCTCCACTATTTCTCTAATGCTGAGTTCCAATTATTATGAAAAACTTCCCAATCCTAATTGAATTGATCCCTTTCACATACTATCACATTCGAATGCTCGGTAGGTTTTGATTCCGATGACCACATCTCCCTCCATTTCAGGGATATCAGGATACTTTATTGTCCCTGTGGTTACTGTTTCTTTATAATTCCTAAATTTCTGCCTATTCCTTAGTCTTCCATATTTTCTTCTTTCTTTATTTGCACCATAGAAAGTTATAATTCCCAAAATTTTCACCCTATGCTCTCTCATTCTTAAGTTTACATACTCCACAAATCCTAGTGCAACAACTGTCATGATGGCAACTGTCAGCTAATGCAGGGATCCCCTCGAAAGCGCTCATCAGAATTCACACATAAGTCCCTGTCTCAAACATCAAACTCAACAGTTCTACAGGTCTCTCTGGGCTCCTCAAATCCAGCACGCCCACAATTTAATGCATATTAACTCTCATTCCCATGTATGTTTGACTGAAAAAGGGCACTACCATCAGTGTAATCACTTAAGCCAGAACCTGAAATGTGTCCCAAACTCTGTGCTCATCCCTCCCCCGCTGTGACCTGCTGATACTTTCATCCTGGCCCCTGGAAATCATACTCCTGGCCCATACCTTGGTTCACTGCCATTCTCATTTTTAAGCAGGTCATTATAATAGTCTTCTAACTGGACTTCTATTCACTCAGCTCAATCAGAGCCTGTCTCTGTACCCTGCTTGAATTTCTATGATGCACGGGCTCCTTATGATCTGAGTTCTGCATGCCTCTATAAACTTCTCACTTTCCATGTCTTACTCAAGCAACCTATATTCTATTCATGCTAAATTATATTCTTAAAACATGACTGATGATATCTCCCATAAAAAAACATTTTCTTTCTTTACAAACCTCTTCTTTTCTAACCTATCAAATGTTACTCATCTTTCAAAAATCAAATCAAGTTCATCAAACAGAATAGTTTGTACTATCATTGTTTGTCCATTTTTTATGCTTTCATTTTTAACTTAAACTACTTCTAAGATAACAATATATAATTTGTCAACTAGTGATTTCTTACTTTTTTTGACTAGTCATTTCTTACTGTTATTTTTTTGAAATTTTGTATTATTTCTACCCTTTTTTGTTTTGCTTTTTTTCTCTAAATAAAAAAAAACTTAAAAAAAAAAAAGCATCAGTCCTCTGAGAAGCTGAGGATTCTACATAGATTCCCCAGCCTCCTTAGGCATAATCAGAGAGATTTTCATTTGTATCACTTATGTCTCTTCTATGTACCTATCACCTTGTGTTACACTTGACAAATTCCATTTCATTTTTCCCTCCTAAATGATGAACTTTATGACAGTGTAAGACCTGTCATAATGTGTTTGGCACAGGGGAACCATCCAAAACGTCTTTGCTGAATTCAGTGCCAGTAGTCTTTTCTGTTTTGAGCAGGATCAACAGATCAAGAACCTGCTAAGTATAAAATTTTGTCAAAATTATGTTCTTTAATTTCTATTTTTACTTACTTTATTAAATGAAAATAATAAATTATTCTTAAAGTTTCTAACATTATTAATATAAAATATTCTAATGTTTATAAATCTGTGATTTCAAATCATCACACATTTCAAAAATTATTTCCCCAGGAAGTATACTGGTATACAGAAAATGTGCAAATTTATAACAGATTTGTTCAAAAAATGTCTAGACATCAGATAAAATTTTGTTCTATACTAGTTTGAGATAAAAAAATATTTCTAGCAATTTACATGTAGTACCCAAAATATTTTAAAAACTCATCAAGGAACCAACAAAATCTTAAAACTTAAAATACAAATCAACAGAAATGGGAGGAAAGTTCAATGAGTTTTTTTTTTAAAGGTGGACGTATTTTATAGTTTTCTAAGTCTATGTAAAAGCCCATGAAGACAAAAATAGATATTCCTTTAAAATTGCACCTTCTAAATTCTTCAATCAATATTTGACTGCATTTAAGTTACACAGTAAATTATTATCTTATTTTGGACGTATTTTTAGTTCCAAAATGCCTTGGAAACTGATTGCCTGAGTCTTATTATTCTTTCATAAAATTCAATTAGATTAAGTTGCTTTGAGTTCAGGTTTCATAAATGTTTTAATGCATTTTTAAAGAATAATCAGGGTTTGAATTTTTCTGATTTCTCAGTAGAACAAAAATAAAGATGACTAATAATTTTGTGGCTACAGTTCAAAAATTTAATATACAAGATGTACAAAGCACAGCAGACTCAAAATTATATTTCACATACAGGTAGTAGATCTTTTCAAAATGACATTTCACAAGCATCAGCAGAGCTGACAGACTAATACAGTAAGACATTTCTTTGGAGCAGAACTAATGAGTCTCCTGGTATAGTATCAAATTAAATTTATAAGACTCTCCACCCTCATTAGAGGGCTAACCGTGGAAACCATAAGCTTTGTAGGTTAAACATAACAAGAATCACTTCAAAATAAATGTAGTTATTACAAGGTAGCACAATAGAAGGCATTGCAGAATGTGACACAGTCTTTTAGCTTTTTGTACAAGGCTAAGGGCTTAACACCACTAATCTGCCCAAATTCAAGGGCCTTTAAACCCTAATAAATGATTACTGCTCACCAAAGAAAACTTGGTTGGAGGGATATTTCCCTTTTACTTACTTTTTTGTTTTTACTCTTTAGTCAGTCTCATTTGAGAGACAAAAAATGTGACTTTGTGGCAAATATAGAAACATTTTCGCTAAAAGGAAGAAAACAAGTCCAGCTATTTTGAATATTTCTGCATAGCCATGTAAAAATTCAAAATTATAAAATCAGAGGACCTAAAATACGAGTATAGACAACATAGTTGATGCCTCACTAGTATTTTGGTAAATAAGTAACTGAACCATAAACAAACAACTTTACGTTACATACCTGAAGCAGAAGATGATACTTCAAAACACGTTGCATAGGAACCACAAGCAAATCTCGAAGTGTAAATTTCCCATTATTTGCTCTTTTGGAACATTCCTAATGACATATTTTTTAAAATGTTTTGTTAGTTTTCTCAAGACACTCAGTCCACAAACAGAACCATTTTCAATAAATATTTTTCTTTTCCTTAAAAATCATTCTTTCTAAATAATAGTGTTTTAAATGTTAAAAAAAAATCTTGTAGTATTTCAAACAGAACTATTATACAAATGAAAATTATTGTCTCTCGTGAAAAATCTTGGCTACGCAGGGCCTTTCTGAGACTCTCACAACCTTACCTTCTCCCAGTGGGCTTGCAGACAGAAGCCAAGGGTAAGCCCCTACTCTGCAAACTTGCTGTGAGCTTCAGGCTGCAGTTCGCTCAGTTCTACCCAAACGCCTTGTGCTTTTTCCTGCCTCCAGCAAAATTTGCCAACCTCTTTCAGAACTATACCTGTAGGCCTTTAGAAATAATCTCAGCTGAAACTGTGTTCTGGTGTTTGTTTTTTTGCAGTTTTTTCCTCTCTCTCTCTCTCTCTCTCTCTCTGTCTCTCTCTCTCTGTCTGTCTGTCTGTCTCTCTCTCTCTCTGTCTCTCTCTGTCTCTCTCTCTCTCTGTCTCTCTCTCTGTCTCTCTCTCTCTCTCTCTCTCTCTCTCTCTCTCTCTCTCTCTCCCTCCTATAACTTCTGTGTGCCTCTGCAGTTATTCAGTTGTTATACTTAATGTCTTCTCCAACACAATCTTAAAGTCTTTAGCATGTCCCTGAAGTCCCTAAGAATCTAATTTTCAATAAATATTTATTAAACTGAATAAAACAGAACAGTTAAGTGTGAAAACTTGCTAAACTATAAGCTCACTACTATATTCATGTTTTTTTTTTTTTTTTAAGAGGAAAAAGAGAAAAACACAAAACAAACCAAAGCGGCGTAAGGGTACACGCAATACAGAACTACAAAACAAAACAAAACAAAACAAAACAAAAAACCATAACAGTAAGAAATTACCTGCTAGTAGATTACACACTATTTTCTTGAAAATAGTTCCTCAAATCACAGTATCAAAGAACACAAGGTGGACATTCAAACAGGGAGACTGCAAACAGCTGTGTTCAATGTTCCAAAAACATTGATAAAGTCAGCTATTTAACACCCCCAAACACACTTGCTGTTATATCCGTTAGAGCTCCTTTTTTTTTTTTTTCCCTCTCTTTTTTACAACAAAATTTACACATCTTGGATTTTATTACTCCTTAGTGCTTATTACTTTCTTTGGGGGGGGGGAAGAATACAGTCAAATATGGCAAAACAAAGCTGTCAGTCAATACCAAGGATAGACGTAGCACATGGTGTAGAACAGAGTACAAGTTTATCAACAATGGTTATCAACGTTGTCCCTTGTTTCCTTAAAAAGAATTGTCTATCTTATTAGATATTATAAAGTTGGACAAAACAGTAGAGAACAAGACCAATAAAACTTAGATGTTGTAAACATTACAGGACTTCCAAAGAAGACAATAGTCAAACCAGAATGGGTATCTTAGTGAATCTTATTGTCTTCAAAGTAGTTGCCTATGTCTTCAAACTTGATACTATCATATAGAATGGAACAGAGTCTAATCAGTCAAAACAAGATCGTGGGAGTACTACAGGACTTCAAAACAAGTTAATAGGAAATCGAAAAGAGTTACTATTTATATATCCTAATTTTTTTGAATTTTTTCTTTAATTAAGACAAACATAAGAAATGACTAAATAATTTTTTTGAAACAATAAGGGGGAGATTGAGATAAAACAGGACATAACAATATAACAATAGAGGTCACAGCATGACTGTTTCAATAACCTAGTACTTCACCACCTTATAACCTGACTTAGTAGTAGTTACCATAGTGTCTTTTTCCTTGAAATATTTGGGTAAAACTTCATATACTCTAGCTTCAAATATTTTCATATCAAGAAGCCCAGAATAAAGCCTTTCTAATTAATGAGTGAAAACTTTATAAGGCTTCAAGGCCACCTAATGGGGAATCATGATTACCACATATTTTTATATATTTGAATCATTACTTACGTTAGGGAAACTATTCGGTATTCACACATGCGAGATTGATTTATTTCACTTATGAGTATGGTCTCAAGCTGTGCCCATTTATTGATAAATATCTCAATGTGATCCTTCTTTATAGCTGAATAATACTCCATTGTATAGAAATACCACAACTTTTTTATCCATTCCTCAGTTGATGGGCACTTGGGTTGTTTCCAAGATCTGGCGATTACAAATTGTGCTGCTATAAACATAGGTGCACATATATCACTGTGGTATGATGCTTTCAGTTCTTCTGGGAATATGCCTAGAAGTGGAATAGCTGGAATAAATGGGATTTCCAGTCCCAACTTTTTGAGAAATCTCCAGACAGATCTCCACAAAGGCTGTACCAGTCTACACTCCCACCAGCAGTGCAGGAGAGTTCCTTTTTCCCCACAGCCTCTCCAGCATTTGTTGTCGGTTTTCTTGATCCTGGCCATTCTTTCAGGAGTGAGATGGTATCTCAGTGTGGTTTTAATTTGCATTTCTCTAATGACCAATGATGATGAGCATTTTTTCATGTATTTATTTGCCATTTGCATTTCTTCATCTGAGAATTGCATATTCATCTCAGATGCCCATTTTTGGATTGGATCTTTGAATTTCGGAGGTCTGAGTTTCTTTAATTCTTTATATGTTTTAGACAAGAGGCCCTTGTCTGAGAGAGAGTTCACTAAAATCTTTTCCCAGTTTGTGGGTTTTCTTTTCACTATGCTGGAGATTTCTTTTGACATGCAGAAACTTTTTAATAAGAAGTGGTCCCAGTTATTGATTCTGGGAAGTATTTCCCGTGCGGTTTGAGTCCTGTTCATGAATTCTTTACCTACTCCTATGTCTCCAAGGTTTCTACCTATTTTGTCTTCCAATAGATTTAGTGTTTCTGTTTTAATATTCAGATCTTTGACCCATTTACATTTTAATTTAGTACATGGTGATAGACATGGGTCTAGCTTTAGTTTTCGGCAAATGGAGAGCCAGTTTTTCCAGCACCATTTATTAAAGAGACTGTCGTTCTTCCAGTGAACCTGCTTGGCTCCTTTATCAAAAATAAGGTGGTTGAGTGTGTTCGTAGTTGTGGTTGTATCTTCTAATCTATTCCACTGATCTTCAGCTCTGTTTTGATTCCAATACCATGTTGATTTTACTACTGTTGCTTTGTAGTATAACTTCAAGTCAGGGATTGTGATGCCTCCTGCTTTGTCTTTGCTGCTTAGAATTGCCTTTGCGATTCTAGGTCTCTTCTGGTTCCAGATGAAATTTAGGAGTGATTTCTCTAGATCTATAAGGTATGTTAATGGTATTTCTATTGGGATTGCATTGAATCTGTATAACAGTTTTGGGAGAATGGCCATTTTCACAATGTTTGTTCTTCCTATCCATGAGCAAGGGATGTCTTTCCATTTTCTGAGATCATCTTCAATTTCCTTTTTCAGTGTATTATAATTTTCACTGTATAAGTCTTTCACTTCTTTCGTAAGAGTAATTCCTAAATATTTCATTTTTTTGCTTGCTAATGTGAATAGTCCAGTTTCTCTTATTTCCCTCTCTGTAATTTTGTTGTTCGTGTATAGGAATGCTATTGATTTCTGAGTATTGATTTTGTATCCAGCCACATTACTGAATTTATTTATTGTATCTAAGAGTATTTCAATGGAGTTTAGGGGGTCTTCTATGTAGAGTATCATGTCATCTGCAAACAATGATAATTTAACTTCTTCTTTTCCTATCTTTACCCCTTTTATTTCTCTTTCTTGCCTAATTGCTCTGGCTAGTACTTCCAGTACTATATTAAATAGGAGTGGTGATAAAGGACATCCTTGTCTTGTGCCTGATTTTAAAGTAAAGGCTTTCAATTTTTGGCCATTTAGTATGATGCTGGCTGTTGGTTTGTCATAAATGGCCTTTATTATATTGAGGTAAAGACCATTTATTCCAATTTTCTGTAAAGTTCTTATCATGAATAAGTGTTGGACCTTATCGAAGGCTTTTTCTGCATCTATAGAGATGATCATGTGATTCTTATTTTTGGCTTTATTGATATGGTGGATTACATTTATTGATTTGCGTATGTTGAACCATCCTTGCATTCCTGGGATGAATCCCACCTGGTCATGGTGTATAATCTTCTTGATGATTTGCTGGATCCTATTTGCCAATATTTTATTGAGGATTTTTGCATCTGTGTTCATTAGGGAGATCGGTCTATAGTTCTCTTTTATAGTTGGGTCTTTCTCAGGTTTTGGTACTAGAGTAATATTTGCTTCCAGGAATGACTTAGGAAGGATTGCTTCCCTTTCAATTTCATTGAATAGTTTGAGGAGTGTCGGCATTAGGTCTTCTTTACATTTCTTGTAGAATTCTGCAGTGAATCCATCTGGGCCTGGGCTCTTCTTGGTGGGCAAGGACCCAATTACATTCTCAATTTCATTAGCAGAGATTGGGTTATTCAACAGTTTTATATCCTCTTGATCTAGCTTTGGTACTTCATATGCTTCTAAGAATCTGTCTATTTCTTCTGTGTTATCAAACTTTTGAGAGTAGAGGTTTTCGAAATAGGTGTTGATGTTCCTCTGTATTTCTATTGGGTCTGTAGTGATTTCTCCTTTTTCATTTCTTATTGCATGAATTTGAGCTTTTTCTTTCCTTTTTTTAATAAGGTTGGCTAGGGGCTTATCGATTTTATTTATTCTTTCAAAGAACCAACTCTTTGATTCGTTGATTCTTTGGATTGTTTTCTTAGTCTCTATTGCATTGATTTCTGCTCTGATTCTTATAATTTCCTCTCTTCTTTTGGCTTTGGGCTTGACTTGCTCTTCTTTTTCTAGCTGTTTGAGGTGTAGCATCAAGTTATTTACTTGTATTCGTTCTGTTTTCCTGATGTGGGAACTCAGTGCAATAAATTTTCCTCTCAGAACGGCTTTCATTGCATCCCACAGATTCCGGTAAGTTGTATCTGCATTTTCATTTTCT